ACCCCTTTCTCGCTGCTTCCAGCGGAGGCTCCCTCCTCGTTTGAGAAGAGATGGCCTGCCTGGAACGCTCTCTGAGCTTCCTGCCTGAGCAGGGGTGGGCTAGAGGACCCCAAGGTCCCTTCAGAACCCCGTTATTCCCCAGGGCAATGCCAAAAAGGGGGCTGGCATTTGTGTCAGAGGGGCTGACCGAGCCCCAGTAGCCCCGCCTCCCTCCCTGGAAGTCTGAGCTGAGCAGAGGGGGGGCTGGGATCCCCCAGCTGAGCTAAGAGAGCAGCCTGGTGGGGGCTGCCATCTCTGGTCCAGGGGAGGATTCACCTCTGCAGCCCAGGGTGGGTGAGGGTAGCTGTGGCTTCCCAGGCCTCAGTTTCCCTGGATGCAAACAGGGCTTTAATTAGGGGACTGTGGGAGCTCCTCACTCTGCTTCCTCCCAGCCTGGTTTAATTATTTTAAGTGATTAATTAATAGGCCTGCTACAATACGGACTTTTAAAGATTTTTATACTCATTAAAGATTATTATTATATTATTTAAAGATTATTATATACTCATGTAAAGAGTAAGTATTGCACCTTCTGCAAATAAATTTAATATACTGATTTACTTGGCCAAGTGTACTGGATTTGACAAAATAAGGACTGTATCCTTTGCAAATGAAGAAATACAGAGCTCCTCTGTGAGGGTGACTATTTGTCTATCCCAATATTTTTATTTTTATTTATTTTATTTATTTTGTCAAGTGATTATAAGATAACAGGTATAAGCATGGCTATGAATACTTGAAATGGATACATATAAGAAAAATAAAAGAAACAATAGGACAGGGACTGTAGGCACGTTGGTGCGCTTATGCAGGCCCCCTACAGACCTCTTAGGAAAGGGGTGAGGTCAATAGTAGACAGTTTAAGGTTAAAAGTTTTTGGGGTTTGGGGAAGAAACCACAGAGTCAGGTAGAGGATTCCAGACATTGACCACTCTGTTGCTGAAGTCGTATTTCCTGCAATCAAGTTTGGTGCGATTAACCTTGAGTTTGTATCTATTGTGTGCTCTTGTGCTTGAAGCTGAAGTATTCATTGACAGGTAGGACATTGCAATGTATGATTTTATATACTTTACTTAGATCGGACCGAAGGTGGCGTAGTTCTAAGTTTTCTAGGTCTAGAATTTCAAGTCTGGTGGCATAAGGTATTCTGCAACGAGTAGAGGAGTGGAGAACTCTTCTTGTGAAATATTTCTGGACTTTCTCAACTGTGTTTATGTTTCATGGTTATGAATACATGAAATGGATACATATAAGAAAAATAAAAAGAAACAATAGGACGGGGACGATAGGCACGTTGGTGCGCTTATGCACACCCCCTACAGGCCTCTTAGGAATGGGGGGAGGTCAATAGTAGACAGTCTAAGGTAGGGGTAGTCAACCTTTTTATACCTACGGCCCACTCTTGTATCTCTGTTAGTAGTAAAGTTTTCTTTAACCGCCCACCAGTTCCACAGTAACAGTGATTTATAAAGTAGGGGACAAACCCCCTACCGCCCACCATGAAAGCTGGAACGCCCACTAGTGGGCGGTAGGGACCAGGTTGACTCCCACTGGTCTAAAGTTAAAGCTTTTGGAGTGGTAGCGTTGCTATTGCTGGTGCAAGCAGTCTTATAGATCTATACAGCAAAATATTTCAGGCGTATCACTTGAGCGGCTGATATTCAGAGAATCTGGCTTATAACTCTCATTCCTCCAGAATCCGTTTGGTCCCACATGTGCCAAAGGGAAGAGAAAATGGCCCTTTTGAGTGTTTTGCCTCTCTGCCCAAAGTGCCCCATGGTCTTCCTGTCATCCACGTGCCCCTCCCCCAACCCATTTAGACAGGGGGTGAACTTTGGTGAGTTCCCAGGGGATTCTGTAGTGGGTTGTTAGCCAAAGCCCCCCCCCCCCCGGCTGCCCCTCCCACTAAACCAGGTCCTTTGTTAATGCTCAGCCTGACCTGGCTTCTGTAGTTGGGTTCCACTTGATTGCACATTGCAAATGCAAAACCTATGGTAACAAAGCAAACAAAAAATAGGAAAAGACATGCAAAACAAACAGCAAAGTCCAATCGTTCCCTCCATTTCTCCCTTCCCCTCTTTCTTAACAAACTCCCCAGCTGTTGCCTCTCCAGGGGGGTTGATAGGTTGTGTTCATTCTCTCTGTCTGGACCTTGCATTGGCTCAGAAAAAACCCCCGCTCCTCATGCCTTAATTCTGGTTGATTGTTTTGAGGGGGATTCAGCGCATCCCTTCTTTGTAAAGTGCCTTGGGAGTTCTGATCCTGCCTTAAACACTCAAGCCGGCTGGGTGACTTTGGCCCAGCCCCCCCCCCCGCCCTCAGAGGGAAGTAGGAGGGAGAAGGAGGATTTACTACATTCACCAGCTTGAGTTATTTATAAAAATAATAACAGCAGGACATAAACAGACAAACAAACGCATAGAAGGGCTTGGCTAAAATCTTGACCAAAGCCACTTATCTCCTCTGGCTGATGCACTCTCAGAAGAAACCAGCCTCTCTCCAGGAGCAAAAATTTCCCCAAAGCATCTTGGAGAAGGAGGGCTCCTACTTGGTGGGTGTTAAACCTTTGAAGAAGCTGGGTGTTTCAGAGGAGGAAGAGGAGGAGGAGGAGGAGGAGGAGATGCCTGTAGCTCGGAGGAGAGCAAGCTTTGCATGTAGGTCAGAACGATTTGCTAAAGAACTTACGGAGACCCCAGAGACCCCAGAGACCCCAGAGGGAGGGGCTGCTGGCATGGGAGGACATGGCCAAGCTGCTCTCTCCTTATTAAATATGCTGTGGGCGGAGTTTAACCACTGGGGGTGTTAGAAATAAGAAAATTCAAAAATAAAATGTAGGTGAAGAGAATAGTATATTATAGCATTCAGAAGACAGTTGCTCTATAGACATTTGCTATCCTGATTTAATCCTGCTGTAAATATATTATCTAATGCATTTACAAACATTGCCCTAACTTTCTTTAATCAATTGAAGTTAGATTTTGTTTTTCAAAGCATCTGCTTAAATTTACCAGACTTTTACTTTGCATAGGTGAATATGTTAGAGATGCATATAATCATCATGTTCTAAGAAGATGTGCTGGATGTAACATTAATATGGAACAAGTGTGGTGTTAGGAATAGATATTTCTTTGTTCTCCGACCATTAGAAAGAGGCCCTGCTGAAGGGACATCCCTTAATGCCAAGACAGATAAGAAAAGGCCATGCTGGCAAAATGTGTGATGGGAGGCCATTGGGAGGTGTTGAAGGAGATGATGTGGTCTCCATAAGGCGTTTTGGATTAGACTCCATTTTGGAGTCTAAGTAGGGTTTAGGCTTTGTGTTTTAGGAGGCTGGGACTTCCTGCGCCCCAGAGGCAATGATCCACCACTGAAATGCATCAACCAGATAGAAAATACCCCCATACCTCCACCTGTTCCCCCCTTTAGCTAGTCTAGGGAACCAGCCTGGATCTGGCACAAATTCCAATGCAGTCAAAGCAACTTTAACACATTTTCTTTCTTTTTATTGCCAATAGAAACAGACCAGTTCCACTAACCGAGTTTCATGTAGCTAGCCAGTTGCAGCAGAATTAGAGTCGTAGCCAGATAAGCCCCCCCCCCTTTGCCCCTCCCCAGTCCTCTACTGGAGGATAGGATCCGCCCTGAACCTTCCCATCTCTGGGGCTGCCCAAGTGGTTCCCCAGCCCTGTCAGCAGCTCCGAGCAGGGGGGATCATTTTGTTCTCCTGCGCTTTCAAAGGTATCTAGGTCCTAGAAAACCAAAGTCCCAGGAATGCTGTGTGTGTGTGTGTGTGCGTGTGTGTGCGCGTGCAATGAGAGGGCTGAACAGCATTACCTGGCAACCTCAGGAAGAAATCCCACTGCCCACCCAGGCAGATGCAGCAGCAGAGGAGGGAGGGGCCAAAGGGATGGCAGCCAGAGAGGCTGCGCTTGGCGGGGGCGGGGGGGCAGAGGAGCCTAGGCTGATGCCCCCCTTGCTTACAGGTCACTGCCTGGGTCCTGCCTCTCTTTTCGGCGCCCAGTCCTTTTCTGGGTCTCTCGCTTCTCCTGCTGGCTTTCCGCCTCTTCCAGCAGGCCAGTGATTGTGCTTATCATGTCCTCGAGGGGTAAAGTCCCTGCCCGGTACAGTTCAAGGAGCTCCTGCCTGTTATCCTGAGGGACGTACTTAGAGAAGAGGAGATCCAGGACACACAGGCGCTGCCCCTTATATTCTCCCACCGTCACGGGGACCAGAGTGGTCCTCAAAGTCTTCTTCAATTGCAGATGCCGAGCCTGGGATGCACCGTCTTCTGCCACTGTGGAATCAGGGCTGCTGCTGGCCGACCAGTCCCCACTGGGCCTCTCTTTCCCCCCCTCTCCTGGGTGCATGATGTGGGTCACCGCAGATGCCATCTGATCAAGGGTGAGATCACCCAACCGATAGAGGTGCAGCAGCTCCTTCCTTTTCTCCTCGGAAATGTACTGAGAATGCAGCAGATCCCACAATGAAGCTTCTCTTCCATGGAACTCAGCAAAGGGGAAATTGACCAACCGAGACCTTAGAGCACTCGGTGAGGGAAATGGGCTTCCTGCCAAAGGCTCCTCAGAGGCTGAGGGAAAGGAAATGCCTCCCTGGGAAGACTCACAGAAGGCAGAAGCCCCCTCACTTGAGGTCCCCGTTGGTGGAAGCACAGGAGACACGACACAGGCAACCCCTGGGACCCTACCTGCCGCTCCTCGAGATTCGGGGAGACTCATTTCCTCACTGATCTTAGAGACACACCTGGAAAAGAAAGGATCCCAGACAGAGGTTTTCCGGTCCAGGATGTCACGGACAATGTCATTGATATTCTCCAACTCCAAGGCGTACTGAAAAAGGTCATATTGTGAAGGATGTTGATTTCCTGATTTCATTTCCTCTGTGTTATTGACAATGGCGGAGACCACGGTCTCCATCTGGTCAATGGTGAG